GGCTAACATCTGTGCCCATCTTCCTCCACTTTATATGGGACGCCGCCACAGCATGGCCCGCCAAGCAGTGCGTCGGTGCGCGCCCGGGATCCGAACCAGCGAACCCCGGGCCGCCGCAGCGGAGCGCGCGCACTCAACCGCTTGCGCCACCGGGCCGGCCCCCCATGTCTTGGCTATTGTAAATAATGCTGCAATGATCATGGGAGTGCAGGTATCTCTTCAAGATCCTGTTTTTTATTTTCTTTGGATATACACCCAAAAGTGGGATTGCTGGATCATATGGTAGTTCTATTTTTAATTTTTTGAGGATGAGGTCTCTTCTTTCTTCTTCACAAACTGCTTTTCCTCAACTTTACTGAAGTAACTGAGGATAGGTAGAGGAGATCAATCAATTCTCCTGATGGTTGTCACTACAAATATATGCCTTTTAATTTCATCTGGGCCCTGTATGCCTCTTGTGTAATCCTTTTATTTTGTTTTGGTTATTGTCCTCTGCCATTCCCCCTCATCGGGTATTTCAATTTTTCATTACTCTCTTCAAGCTGAGACCCAATTTGCTACCCTTGTTTCTCAGCAGAAGTCCTCACCCTCTCTATTCAACAGGAAAGTGAGGGCCATCAGGTGTAACAAACATCCTCAAACGCTTATCTGCTCTCCCCTTCTCTTTCATGCGGGTCTTCCTCTCGTGACCTCAGAGAGGAAGGCATGCTTCCCCCCAACCCATCCAAACCCAGTTCCTCTTTCTGTGGGCTTAGAATTCCCTGTCTCATTCCATCTTCTCCCAGATCTTCTTCCATTAATGACTCCCCCTCTCTCCCCTGCATCATAAACTTCTCTCTGTCCACTGTTTTTGGTTTTGTTTTTGCTTTGTCTTTCCTCTCAGCTTCTAAACCTGTGAATCTCTTTCCTTGCTCCTTTGGAAAAAACCCGTCTTCAACCCTCTTTCTCGCTCTAGCTATAGCCCAACCCCTTTCCTTTCCATCTCCACCATACTTCTCAAAATTTCATGTTCCCCATTTTCTTAATTTCGCTTTTACTTTTCAGCTCACTCCCCTCTGGATTCTGGCTCGACCCCTCTTCTGCATTTCCATTGGCTAAGATCACCACTGTTTTGCTAATTCCTGGAGTCCAGTTTTATCTCACTTTGCATCTGTGTTGTTTAGCAATTGGAGCAATATTGACTTGATCCTACACTGTATTAAAAGGGTATTTGGCCAGGGAACCAAAACCCTAGGACTTCTCAGGCCTGATATCAACCCACATAAGGTCCCTGGAGAAGGTCCCTACACTGGGCATTGCAGAGCTCCCTTTTGGCCTGAGATAGTCAGGTCCAGACAACTTTAGACCAAACAGCAGGTGAGTCCTCCTCTGTGTTTTTCAGCTTCCCTCGGCCCAGGAATGGGGAAAATGTGATGAAGACGAAAGGCTGATGAGAAAGACCAGTGAAGAGGCTGGTGCAAATAATCCAACAAAAAAAAAGGATAAAGGCCTGAACTAAGACCGTTGGCAGTGGAGATAGCCACTCTGTGAGAAGTCTGAGGTAAAATTGACAGAATTGTTGGATTTACAGAGATGAGAAAGAGAGGATTTGAGGATGCCTTCTGAGTTTCTAGCCTAGGAGACAAGGGTATGATGTCTTCATATTAATTGAAAGAGAATATAAAAAGAACTTGGTTGGGGGAATGGAAAAAAAGTTTCTAAAATTCTGTTTGTGATTAATTTAGCTTAGGAAGAAGAGAAATACATGTATATTAAATTTGTTGAGATGTAGATATTGTGAGAATGTTTTAATTTAGAATATACAGGGATTAGAGGTAACTTTGTACAGATTGTGAGGCCTTGTAAAAAAAGTCTTTGAGATCTAGCTAAAATTTGTCTTCCTAAGCAAGATAAGGTTGTTGAACTAATAACAATTAGGTCATTTCTGCAAGAGGGTTTTAGGATTAAATGAACCCAAAATAAAGAAATCTGAATCTCTGACTTCCCCTAGCATAAACTCAGCAGTGGGGTTGCGATTGGGGGTTACCAACACTACAGCAGCCATTTGCAGGTGAGAACTCCCAGATAATGAAAATATCTTGCCTAGGATCAGGGAGAGGAACATGCTGTGGGGGAGGGAAGAGGGGAAAAAGACAGTGATCATTGGTATCACTTCTATATTTGTCCCCTATACATGATCATTAGGTCTTTTTGCTTGCTTTTTTAGGTACCTCACTTTGAAAGATCAATAATGTCAGACCACAGGTTGGGGTTGGGTTAGTTAGGAAATATTGGAAAAAGGCTGTCTTCAGTTCTTCTGAGACATCTGGAACAGGGAGAAATGAGGAGGGGAACCAATAGTGGCAGTTCTGGTCATGTGGAGAATGACTTTCATGGAGATTGTCCAGTGGGAGTTGGAACTACGAACCTACAATTAGATATATGAAGTACTGACTGAGAAGTGGTTGATGAATGCCTTGGGGCGGGAGGTGGTGGACAGGATCTCCTGAGGGGGGCACAAAGAATGAGAAGTAAGTGGACCTCAGATGGAATCTCTGCTGATCCGATAGTTACAAGACATGCTGAGTCAAAAGAATCTGAAAGGAGACTAAAATCAAACATTCAGAGATATAGGAATAACTATATTTATTCTTTAAAAAATGCATACAAAATATTAAGGATTCCTCACTTTACAATAGCTGGATACTATTTCTTGTCATACTATATGCCTAACATAATAGAGCCCTATCTAGAGATATTTTTTTCAACGAGGATCAACAACACATACTTAAAACAACTTTATTATGGCATCATTACTATACATAGATGGTCCCCAATTTATGATGGTTCGACTTATGATTTTTCAACTTTACAATGGTGCGAAAGCGATATGCATTCAGTAGAAACTGTAATTCAAATTTTGAACTTTGATCTTTTCCTGGGCTAGCGATATATGGTACGATGCTCTCCTGATGCTGGGCAGTGGCAGCAAGCACAGCTCCCAGTCAGCCACGGGATCATGGGGTAAATGACCAATACTTAAAACCGTTCTGTACCCATACAACCATTCTGTTTGTCATTTTCTGTTTGTACAGTATTCGATAAATTACACAGATATTCAACACTTTATTATAAAATAGGCTTTAGATGATTTTGCCCAACTGTAGGTTAATGTAAGTGTTCTGAGCACATTTAAGGTAGGGTAGGCTAAGCTATGATGTTTGGTAGGTTAGGTGTATTAAGTGCATTTTTGACTTGATGGGTTTATTGGGATGTAACCCCATCATAAGTCAAGGAAGATCTGTGTGGAGCTGTACTTTTCACATCAAGTTAAATTCTTTGAAGAAAGTGTTAATGACTAAAATTGTACAGATCATAGGGCAAGAAAACTAGTCTAACAGATTCAATAAAAAATATTTCAGGACAACTATACTATATTTTCAGACCATACTAAAACTATCTTAGAAAATTATTTACAATTTCATCACAGTATAAACACTCTAAACTTTAAAATAAATCTATGAATTTTATACAAAAATATTCTAAAGTACAAATATAAATTAAACATTGAATAAAACATTCACCATGTCCAGTGAAAGCTATTATTAAGAATATATTATAGGTGGTAAAATTTAAAGTGATAACCACAAAACAGTGTTTCATTAATCATTCATAATTTTATATGTTTTAGTAGTAATCATAACGTTTAGAATTTCATTGTAAAATTTTCATTTTTACAAATGCAAGATATACAATTTTCCTACACAGATCCTTTCTCTCTTTAGCTTGTGTAAAAAAGCAACAAAGTGATAAAAATTTCTTAGTCAAAAGTTGACGTGCCATGTAAAGTATATAAGTGGTAAAATTTTCAAAAACTCTTATCCTTAGCTGATTCCTTGGAAACAGTCATATGTTGTACATAAGATAAAAAACACACTGCTACAGGGTATCTACTCAATCTAAAAATAATGTTCCCAAACTTTAGAAAATGTTAAGTACCAAATTTTCTTTAAAAGCCATTGTTTTATGAATAACTATGAATAAAACATTTGCATTTAAATAATTTTGGTATGAAATATCTTTGGAATAATATAAGAAGCATCTCGCCAAGAGGCATCATTTTGCTATGTAAAAAATAAGCATGTCTCATGGTTTAATAATTAACCCACAATGCTACAAATGACTATTTTAAAACAATGTTGATATTATTTACAGTTATGTTTTTACCTTGAGGTACTCATTTTGCATTTGGCTAGATGTTTTTAAAAATTAAAAGGTAGATGTGTGACCTAGTAATATGCCAATTTTAATTTTCTAAGAAGTTGTGTTAAAATGCCATTAAAATATACATATCCTAGTTACCAACCACATTCTTACAGAGAAAATGCAGGTTGAACTTACTACTGTGCAAACAATTGCACTTTCGTTCCAGCTTTGGTTTCTCCCATTCTATTGAGTGACACACATGGCATTTCGAGGGTAATTAACTGTAGATACCAGAACAGCAATGAACAACTGAACACATCCCTAAGACTTCTACTTTGGAACAGAGTAAATACTGATACCGGCAAAATTTTAAATGGCTCATTTTTCATAAAACATTAGTGCAAATTAGCAAACTTTCAGAAGAATTTAGTCATGGAAAGTAGGAAACAAAATCTCATCTTCATTCACTCCGTGTTCATATCGAACTGAAGAGAAGCCCGCCCAGCGCAAACGGTTCCTCTGCAGGAGGAACCAGATCAGTCCGCTGATGAGAGCCAAGACGCTTAGCACAGCAAATGTGATAGCGACTCCCCTGTAATCAGGGCCTAGAAGAGGGAGAGGATTGAGGTTGGAGGAGAGAATATAAAAAGGATCATTATTGATTTTGTTCTTTAGGCTGTGTGTCACATTCATAAACCCTGTACGAATTAGATACAATAAGCACCTGATTGTTTCATAGCCTTAACACAGAATTCAAACTCATCATCCAATACATAAGTGCTTTCTTTTCAAATTTATCTGTTTTCCTTTTCATTCAAATCCTCTTCATTGCTAAAGCAATTTTCTTCCAAAGAAATTACAGCACTATCATAATCCTCACTTTCCCTTACCATCACCCTTTTCAGAATACAACTCTCAGTAAATTACCTTACTTTGATAGCAAATTGCTAAAAGTTGTAAATTTTTGTGTTTGACTTATCTAGGGCCAAATGAAGTATTATTTCTTTAAAATCATTTAGGCCTTTAGGATGACCTCATTTAGTTCCTAGTTATTCAATTTCAAATGGTGTCCCAGGCCGGTTCTCTGCATGCTGCCCAAATGGACTCATTCTGTCCCATGGCTTTAAATACCCTCTCTCTGCTGACCTCCCTTCTCTTGCATATGTCCAGCTGCATGCTAGACATTCCCTATGGATATCTCATCTCCATATGGATAGCTCAAAATGCCAAAACAGAGCTCTTGGTTTACACCACCTTAACCCTGCTCCCACTCACCCCGCAAAATCTTCCAGTTGCTTTCCATTCCACTCAGGATAGAACCTGAACTCTCAACCCTTTCTTCCAGAGCCCTAACCATCCGGCACCTGCCTACCTTCCAGCTCTTGAATGCTCATGGATTCTGCCTTAGGATCTTTTTTTTTTTTTTTTTAAAGATTTTATTTATTTATTTTTTTCCCTCCAAAGCCCCAGTAGATTGTTGTACGTCATAGTTGCACATCCTTCTAGTTGCTGTATGTGGGACGCGGCCTCAGCATGGCCAGAGAAGCGGTGCGTCGGTGCGCGCCCGGGATTCGAACCCAGGCCGCCAGCAGCGGAGCGCGCGCACTTAACCGCTAAGCCACAGGGCCGGCCTTGCCTTAGGATCTTTGATCCAACTGGTACCTCTGCCTGGTGTGCTCTCCCCTGATCTTTGCTTGGCTGGCCTTTCAGATCTCAGCTTCAATGTCTCCGCTCTTAGATGTCTTCCCTGATAACCCAGTCTAGAGTAGCCATCCCCCTAGTCTTGATCACACAGAGTTTATAACTATTTGATATTTTCCTCATTTTATAATTTTATTTATTTATTTATTTATTCCCCCAAAGCCCCAGTAGATAGTTAGTTGTATGTCATAGTTGCACATCCCTCTAGTTGCTGTATGTGGGACGTGGCCTCAGCATGGCTGGAGAAGCGGTGCTTCGGTGCGCGCCCGGGACCGAACCCAGGCTGCCAGCAGCAGAGTGCGCACACTTAACCACTAAGCCACAGGGCCGGCCCTTCCTCACTTTAAAAAATGGACCTGCTTGTTTACTTATTATCTGTTTTCCTCCACTAGATTGTAAGCTCTGTGAGAAAAGGTATCTTATTTGTCTTGTTCACAGGTGCACTCCAGTTCACAGAACAGGGCATGACATATAGCAGACACTCTAACTATTTGCTGAATCAAAGAGTGATTATATAGAAACCGATCACCTAGAATTGGGGTTTTATCTTTTAAACTAGTACACCAAAATGGCCATTTTTTATGGTAGATCTTTAAAAATCTTGCTGTGAAAAATTTAGACTCTTTCTCTAGAAATGAAGTTATTAAGATTTTTATGGTTATTTTATATATCAATTCATGATGAAACACAAGTTCAAATTATGATTTCCTACAGATACCCAGGACATTTTAAGTAATTAAATCCAGTTTTGCATTGCTGTTAGGTTAATCATGAGTTTTATGGGAATGAGGAGAAAGGAAGCAAACTAATTGAAGAATTAGATCTTTGAGCTTTTACATATTCAAACCATAGAATAAAATATATCTTAAGAAGATTTTCAAGGAAATGACCTCCTTAATACTCTGGCAGCTTCCATTTTTCTTAGGAAAGAATTATACAAAGTTTAGACTCTTTAGCAGTTTCCTCTGGGAGTCCTAGACATCTTGTGCATTTACTGTCTTTTGTAACCTATTTTTCTGAGGGAGAGCATCTCTGACTTAATCAAGATTTTTTGGATATACTTTAAGGATTAAATACTTTAGGACCAAGTACAAAACTTTGCATATAATTGAACTGTACATTTATTTCCTGACCTGTTCTGCAAAAATGTTCCTTAAAGACAGGTTTCGTACTTACCCAGAGGAACTCTGCAGACAACTCTTCCGTAGCCATTCGAACATTCAACTTTCATCCAAGTTTCATTTGAAGCTAACAAGATGCTACATTTTCCACCACCACTCTTATTTCTATTTGCCCATTTGACAAATGTCACTTTTGATCCATCTAACCAATTCCAAGACTGATCTAAAGAAAGAAATTAAGTACGACTATGTTTATTGCAACTAAATTACTAAGGTAAAAAGGCATGTGGCTCATACAACTCACTTACTTAGAACTGTGCTGTGCCATTTAAAATGAAATTTATTAAAAGTGGAAAAATGTAAACATCATTCCATCAGTTGCACTTGTCACATTTCAAGTGCTCAACAGCCATGCATGGCTAGTGACTACTATATTGGACTATACAGTGCAAATATAGAACAATTTCATTTTTGCAGAAAGTTCAGTTAGCACTGATATAGAATGTGGTGTTTTGATTAAAGAGCAGAATGCTTGCACATTTATTACGTGAGGGATATATTTCTAAAGACCTGTATCCCCCTCCCTCTCTTCCTCCAACTAAAAAACTCATATCCTTAAAGATGTGCTGGTGGGGAGGAAGGATCCAGGAGGGTCTCCCCACCATGACTCCATTTTTGTTTTCCAGCTGAGGCAGCACCACCTTGTGGTGATAGTGTAAATACAATTTATAATTCAGTTAGATGGCCAACTTTGAATCCATTCACTTTTTGACAAGTACTTAATATTTTGGAATTCACGTTTATTTTAATTATTTAGAATTCAACTTTGCATAAAATGTGAAACAGATTCCTACTCTTCTATCAGCTTTGTACTAACTCATTATCAATTCCAAGTTCACTCAAACCTTATATCTATTATTTCTTATTGAAAAATTCTTCCACAAATCTTTTTGAATCAGTTCTCTGCAATTTTACTAAGCTAGTTTGAAAAATAAATCACTATTAAGACTTAATTTTGCTCTATGGTAAAAATGTTCCAAGAGGGAAGGGAATGACAAGAAGAGAACTTTCTGAATAACAGAGTTATAAGCTGCAAAAACACAGGGTGATAGACACTAGAACTCTAAGGGAAGTAAGTGATGGGTTCCTTGTGGGGACACAGGGGACATAGATACTGCTATAGGAGAAAAAAATATCCTGTTGATCCAGGCGTTGTAAGTCTCTACAACAATTCCAGTTGATTTAACCTGATTTTCATTTCATTAGTGTTTCCATCATTACTAATAAGTCACTCACTTATTCATTAGGAATTTATTAGCTTCCAAAACAGCTAGCAGACCTAGCTTATTCATCAATAAGAAGCAGTTGAATTGGCCACCACTTGACATTCCTTAGCAAGGCTGACTTGGTATTTAGGACAAGTTAGAACTCTGTCTGCACAGTGCACTCACGAATATGTCACTTACCAGCAGATTGTTGAGCTAATCCAAGCCAAACTCTCATGGTAATATTATTATTTTCCCTCATCAGTCTGCTCACGAATTTATTCTCATCTTCGTCTTCTATGGTAACAATAGTTGCAGAATGATCTGTTGAAGGAAAACAAATCTCAAACTAATTAGCTTTATGCAAACTAGGGAAGTGGTTTATTTTCAAGAAGCCATTTGAAAAAGAACTATCATGATCAAGATCTTTGAGAAATTCACATTTTACACAATGTTTTAAAAATCCGATATTTATGTCAGATTTTTAAAAGTATAACATTAATAGCTTCTAGATTGAAACTTCATAGATAGAAATTTTGTTTCTTCAAAATGTTTACCTGGTAATATTTTTTGATCTTGGAACTGCTTATCCCATGAGACCTCTGTGTATGAACACCTAGTCATAAGAAGTGGGGTATGTGAGGGTAGAGATGCGGGCTCCCCTATAGATTTTCAGTACTCTCTCTTCAACAACCACTTCTGTATAATAACTCAGCTTTAAATTTGCTACTGTTAAAATGAAAATAAAAGCAATAGGTTTGGGATATTGGAGAGCACTGGTTTCCTTGTAATATTACTTTATATTGTCACTTCCTAAATATGGTATGGAATTGAATGAGTGGGTATTCTTGAAGTTTAGGTCATGCTAAACCCACAGAGAAAATAGTGTTATTGCCAGTACTGGGTACGGGCTAGAAATAAAATAATAACTAGACAGGGAAATCAATCCTAAATGGAATCAAATAGTGTTCAACAGCAACAAGCCTCTCCATACTTGACCTAAAGCATTTCTTTCGTGGCGGAGGCTATTTAAAGAAGGGCAAAGGAAAGCCTTACTCCTTTATCAATCACCACAGAGTGCCGGTACTTTATACGTTACCTTGTTTAATGTTACATAACCCTGTAGAGGAAGGGATTATCACTGTTTTACACATGAGGAAACTGAGCCTCAAGGAGATTAAGTAAATTGGTCAAGTTTACACAGCTAGCCAGTTATAGAATTAGAAAGTCAACCTCAATCTTTCTAATAATAACAGTTTTGAATGCTCACTATCTGCAGGGCACTGTGCTACATTTGCATGCATTATCTCATTTCATTCATTCCTACAGCAACCCAACCTTTACCCAACCTTTGCAGACTATTTTCATTCTCACTGCTCAGATGAGAAAAGAGAAACAATTATGTAACTTCCACAATATCACTCAGCTAGTAAGTGTGGGAGCTGGGATTTGAACCCAGATCTGTCTGCCTCCAAGGCTTAAGTGCTTAACCGCCACACTACAATGACAGTAAACCTTTCTAATTTCTCCTTTAGGAGCAAGAGGCTTCTGACTTTCAGAACATACATATAGTTCACAACAGTTCCTATCACGCATGTATATATATATATATATACACACACACATATATACACACGCATAACACGCAACACTTTCCACACAAAAATTCCCATCATGTAGTTAAGCAGTAACAAGGAGATTTTTAAATCAGTCTAGTGTCTCTATGACAGTTAGCAAAATAAATGGGATAAATGCCATCTGCCTGGCTAAACTGGTACCCAAGGATGCAGGTCTTTGAAATAACTCCAGGTAGTCTCCCTACAAGTCATTTCACAGTTTGACTACAGGCTAAATTTATCGTGGGAGCAGCAATGATTGCTGCTCTTTCTAAAATACTTAAATCTGAAGACAAAAAGTCCTGTTCCTTGTGGTGTTCAGAGGCTGTGGGCCATTCCTATTGCAGAATGAATGAAAGAACAACTCATGGTTCTTTGATTTTGTTACCCTGGTCAGGCTAAGCTTACTTATTAATAATTAAGTAACGGAAAATATACAATTTTGTATTTACTACTTAACCAACTTTACAAAAAATTTACCTCTTAATCCCTTCATCTAAGCATATCTAGCTATATTCAAAACCATTTCATTTATCAGTATTTTCATATATCAGTTCACTTAGCAATTTTTGATTCTACGTCTTCCCACTTTTATTTTCCATGTACTTATTCTCAAATTGAGCATTTTTATAATGGCTAGTCCAATATTCCATTGAGCTCATATATCACAAGATACTTAACCCCACCACTCGGCAATTAGGTTATAATAAGATAAATAGTGAGTGCTTTAAAAATATTTTCAAAAATATAATTATTATTTCAAATTACTTCCTTAAGAAAAAATCCAATGATTAAATTATTGAGTCAAAGAAAATCAATGAATTTTAACTCACCAAGTTTTGAACAAAACTCTTTGGCTTCTGAGAAACTATGCAATGCCTGGTCAGACATGTAACAGTGGTCCTTGTACTGGATCCACTGTGACTCATTCCCTTTCACTGCTGGACATCTTGATGAGTGTGTATGAGAGGACATCTCTTGAGCTGTAAAAATATTAGACATAACTGTAAAAATGCATGGAAAAAATGATTGACTTTTAAAAACTCATTAAATGTCCCAATTTGAAACTGTGGTTCCTGTACGTAAGAAGCATTCAACTCAATACACACACCAGAGAAAGCTACAGCCCACACTCTAAGAGTATACATTCTAATTAGCTTTTTAGAACACCATTTTTAAAACTTAGAGGATAGAGGAAAGTATGTAGCCCTCTAAGATGGATTTAGACTAAAGTAAAAACAATTGGAAAGACAGAATAGGAAAAGAAGCAAAGATAGGCCTGTAACTACTTTGAAATAATAATTAACATTCTCTTTTTCTTTGAATTCCTTTTTATTTTGATAAAGTAAGCCTAGTTTTGCCTTGCTATATCAAGAACTACTTTAAAAAATCACACCCACAAGTGAAAATTTGGTAATTTGTTTACAAAGCACAGTATATCAGCACAGCAAAATCTGTCTCAAATAAAAAAAGACTAGGGCCGGCTCCGTGGCTTGGCGGTTGGGTGCGCGCGCTCTGATGCTGGCGGCCCGGGTTCGGATCCCGGGAGCGCCCCGAGGCACCACTTCTCCGTCCAACGCGAGG